CCAACCGGTCGTAAGTCGAGGACTACTCAACTGGTGCAGCACCGTTTGCAGAATGGGACTTTTGGCAGGCTCAGCAGGGCAGAAACAGCCTGGACAATTCCTATTGGCTTTTGAAAGCCAATAGAATTAGACTCTATTCAAGAGAGTCTATTCTATTGGCTTTCAAAAGCCAATAGAATAAAAGGGAGTAGCACAGCTAAGGAAAAGGGGGAAAAAAATGGCGGACTGCGTTGTTTGGCGACCCCCATGAAATGGTCGTTCGAGCCCAAATGGGGTCCCGACCCACAGGTTGAGAACCACTGCTCTAATTAAAGCGGGAGTGTCTAACATTGGCAACTTTAAGACCTATGGACTTCAACTCCCAGAATTCCCCAGCAGCCTTGGCTGGCTGGGGAATTCTGGAATTGAAGTCCATAGGTCTTAATACTTGCATCTCTGTGTAGGCAAACTTTCATATGACAGCAGAATCAAAACTCAGATTCTGACAAGTAGTAATATGCAGTGGAACAAATCCCATTGGTTTATGAAGAGAGAACCACAGGAGATTTTTAGTATACTGTTGAACAAAGATTTCATTTCTCCTTTGGGGTGGATCAGCTGTTTTTAACTGACGATAGGCAACCTGGAAGTGTCTGGATCTTTTGGCTTATATTTTCTTAGTACCTGACTGTTGGCTGGACAAAGATGATGGATCTCAAATTCCAGAACATCTGAAGGACACCAATTTGCCAGTGGCTAAAGGCATAAAAAAGTAGAAATAGCTTTCCAATTAAATAAACCATTAGTTATATGGTTGATCTCCTATAGTTAAATCAATATTCTATTTTTCTCACCCTTCCCCAAAGTTCCCATATTTTGCTTATTTTTAAATAGGTTTGCATATATCCAACAAGAGCTGCTTCTGCTCTTCACTTGAGAATCATTTCACATTTTTAATATGATAGGCTGCTACTGTCATGCGTGGATGAGACAACTCCTAATTCTTTCTTTAGTCTAATCAGAATAATACAGGATTCTAAGAAAATAGCTGATGCATTTAACCTGAATTGTATTTCTTGAACCCAAAATTACTTCCAGGAGGCTGAGTTAAGGACCATCACTGTATGTTGTATGAGACCATAGTCGAGGAGTGTGGGGCAACCTGAAGCTTAGTTAGGGTCTCTGAACCACAGTTCCCAGCATCCCTTGCTGCACAGGTGATGCTCACTATGATTTGAACTGGTGCTTTGCCAATCTCTGTATGCTTTATTGATGGCTTTTTAAAAAGACTGTTGAGATTGTGTGACAAGGTACTCTCACAGAAAGAGGGTTTTCTTGCTCACTAAATAGGTATCATCCTAACTGAGAGCCAGTTTGGTTTAGTGCAGAGATGGGCAACATGGCAACTTTATGACCTGTGGACTTCTTGAGCAACAATGCTAAGGTGAGACTTGAACTCATGGTCTCGCTCTTTCTAGCTTGGTACCTTAATCACTACACCACGGATGGACCTGTGGACTTCAACTTCCAGAATTCTTGAGCTAGCCATGCTGACTCAGGAATTCTTGGAGTTGAAGTCCACAGGCCATGAAGGCGCCATAGTTGCCCACCCCTGGTCTAGTGATTAAGTCACCAGGCTAGAAAGTGCGAGACCATGAGTTCAAGTCTCACCTTAGCTTCATTGCACCTCACAGGGTTATTGTTATGGGGAAAATAGGAGGAGAAAGGTGTATTGGATTTGTTCATTTGCCTTGAGTTATTTGTAAAAATAATAAAGGTGGGATATTAATAAATCAAAATCAAATTCAAGGCATGGGCAATCCTGACATTTTTCCCTAAAGAGAAATAGTTTTAATTTGTTTTTCTTACTAATCTTTCCAAGATCTTCTATCCTCCTTCAGTTTTTCTCTCTTCCCCTTTGAGCAGGTGGGGCATTTCAAAATAACCAACTGGGGTTTCAACTTTTTATTCTCTGCAGAGATATTTGAGGCCCAAGGCCTTCTCGTTAAGAAAGTTGATGTTAAAAACAGAACACTTGCCCTACCGCAATGCTGTTTCTTTTAAAATGAAAGGAAACTCAAGCTAGGCAGAGCTTGAAGGTGCCATAGAAACTGTCCCAAGGCAATATATTCCATTAGGCTAACCATAGTTTTTTTTATCATAGGTTTGCCTTTTCCAAACTGCATGATGGTATCCATTTTTATAGGGCTAATAAAACAGGAAAAAAGTTACAATTTAGACATGCAATAAAATAGAAAGGATTGAGATCAAGTATGCCAGTTCAGATGACCGGCTTGCAAGAGCTTCTTAAATGAAACCAAGTTGAGCATGCAGAAATGAAGACCCTCCTCAACATTCTTCTCTGGGGGGAAAAAATGCTGTAACTCAGGGGTCTCCAACCTTGGTAACTTTAAGACTTGTGGATGTCAACTCCCAGAATTCCTCAGCCAGCAAAGCTTAAAGTTGCCACGACTGAGGACCCCTGCTATAACTAAATGAAGACCAAGAAAAGGTGCTGAGATGGGGGAGGGATGTGGTGGAAGGGGGCTACAGAGACCCATAGCTGTCTCTTGCTCACCCTTTGATCTCTTTACCCATTTCTTGTTTTGTCCATTCTGAAATATAAGCTTTGAATCTGATGTTCACAAAGAGAGATAAAAAGTCCTCAACTCTGAGATTTATGGCTATTTGCACTAACCTCTTTCACCCCTGTGTTCCACACACCAACCCAGATCTGTCTTCTCATTTTTTTTTAAAAGAAAAACATTAACTGATCTTCAGAGCAATCACTCTTTCCCTCTTGAACCATTCATCCTAGTCTTTTCCTTGCCTTAATTTCACCCTGTTTCTATCTCCAACAGTACATCAATCCATTGAAATGCAGGAACAGTGGGCCTGCCATGTTTCTCAACCCTGATTTGACCTAATTGCTCAATTTAAAAAAAAAAAAAAAACGTACAGGGATATCCTGAAATCCAGGCTGATTCAAGAATCTTTTTCCTCAGTCCTCTTGTGTTAGTCTTTTATAACAAAGGAATCATTTATCTGTGGGTCTCTTCACCCATTCTCCAAAGGAGAAAATGAGCTTCTTAGTCAGAGGCAAAATACCAATGGCAGAAAATTTTGTATCAGGATTTTATTTCTATTCTGGTCAGTTCAAGGATTACTTCAGGTAAGGAGGAAAGGTGTCTTCAAACATGTGCAGAGTACACTATATTATATAGTAACTGCTGTTGCCATAAATCATGTATATGTTTGTTTGGTTTCTTAGTCTATCTTTCTATTAAAAGTAAAAATTCAGACATATTCAGATATTGTAAGAAAGCTATAGTAAAAAAGCAATCTATTAAACAACTCTGAAAAGGAGCTGGCATGTTAGAAGGAAATGGTCTGGTTTTCTTGCTGTTGTAGATCTGTATTTATGAAGAGTTTCACATAGAAAGTTTATTACTGATAGCTGTTTCCCTCTTTTTTTCCTTCTCTGATTACTCACCATTATTGTGTTCTTTAAAATGCACATGAGATGCTAAAAAAGCATGAATTATGTTTTATACTGATCAACAGGCTGTGTCTGCTTGGCAAAACTGGTTTTAAACCAGGATATGTTTTAAATGCTGATCTATACAACATCTCATGTACTGTAATTAATATGTTTATTGCATTCTATTGGAATGATGCTTTAAATGTTGCTCTTTGTCTTTGTGATTTATGTATAAATATGTGCACATGTACATGCATTTTTCTTTTTTTAAAAGCCAGACTTGAGTCTTCTGTTACTTTAACACTTCAGAAAATATTCTTAAATTAAGAAATATTTGAAATATAAAGTTTTTATAGAAGGGGGCTTGTCAAAATTGCTGCTATTGCCACCACACCAAAGAACTGAAATTATCTGGGAAAGATGTAGATGTAGCACAATGCAATTTTTTGTGCAGTCATATCTTCAGAACCAATACTAAGGGCTAGAAAGTTAAGGAGGGGGACACAGAGTAGAGATGAGTTGTGTGTTTTGTATGTTTCAGTTGTAGAGGACTAGGGAACTTGACTCTGTCTGTAAGGGTATGTCCCCTCAGCCAGTCACTTCTTAAATTTCCGACTGTGTTAGTGGTTCTAGATTGCTGATCTCCTTCAAGGTTGTAACTCTACAGATAATCCTTGACATACAGCCATTTGTTTAGCAACTATTCAAGGTTACACCATTTTAAAAAAATTACAACTGGTCCTCATGCACAACAGCTGGTCACATCATCCCCATGGTCACCTGATCAAAATTTGGGTGTTCGACAACTGGCATGTATTTACGATAGTTGAAGCATCCTGGGGTCACATGATCGCCATTTGCAACTTCTCCAGTCAGTGGAGGAAGCCAGGTTCACTTAACCTTAACAGCCACATGATTCTCTTAACAACTGCAATGATTCGCTTAACAACCATGCAGAAAGGTTGTAAAATTGGGTGTGATTCACTTAACAACTGCTTTTATTTAGAACGGAAATTCTGCTCCCAAGTAAGTCAACGACTGCCCATACTTCAAAGTAAGGCAGTTCTAACACTCTCTCCATGGGGCTGATCTTTTTTTCTTCCCACATAACTGGAAAAGTGAAGGTGAAGGTGTGAGGCTAGCTCAGCCATCCTTGTCTAACTAGTCTCTCTTTGTGTGTGTATGTGTGTCACACATGCCAGTGCGCCAGTTCACTTGCCACTTCACTTTTGAAATCTAACATTTAGAGATGCTCCTTTCAGATCCCTGCATTGTCTGCTACTCGTCCTTTGCCTGCTCTTAGTTGGGTTTCCGAATATGCCAACCAAACTCCAGAATTCAAGAATGTGCTGAACTTTATACAAAATTGGAGATTGTTTTTTTCCCTCTCTAATGTGTGGGTTTGTGTTTAAATTTACTGCCCAGGGATAATATTTGTTTTGGCTTCTAGCTCCCAGTTTTTCTCTGACATATCCTCTGTGGCGCAGTTTGGATTTTGGTTGGTTTTTCTGACATCTGCGTTATTTTCTTTCTTCTTCAGGTATAAATAAATAACCTTCTGGGCCACCACCCAAGAGGGGTGGAGTGCAAGCTGGTGAAGAAGAAGGAAAAGAAAGAAGAGAGCAGGAGAGGTGGACAAATGAAAGGGAAAAAAAGGAAATTTTCCGGGGATTTCTGAGAACTTGAAGCAAACTTCCCGGACGTCGCTGGACAAAAGTGGAACAGGATCCAACTCCGAACGCTGAGAGGATATTGAGTGGTTGTTTTTTTTTTCTTTTCCTTTTTTTTTTTGTGGGTTGCTTTGGCACTGCCCTTTGGCGGAGGCAGCGGATTGGGGTGACTACAAAAGCAGGAAGAGAGTCGGGACGTTCCTGTGAGTCACTTGAGCTGTGGGAAAAAGGCAGTTGCAGCGCTCTTTTTTTTAGCAAAGGTGAGTTTGCTAGACTTAATACCGCTCCCCCCCCCCTTATCTTTCGGTGTCTAAGAGCTGGGACTGGGCAGTCGGAGAAAGACATGTGTTGAATCATCTGACGTTTCTCCTGGCTGCAGGGAACTGGGGTTGTGGTGGGGCGAGGAAGGGAGGGGAGGAGGGGAGGGGTGGCGGTGGCTGCTGCAACTGTAGCTTTTGCTGTAGTAAAAGAAGCCAGCCCAGGAACTGGGGCGCATTAGTCCCCTTCTATGGAGTGAGATTTAATACGGCTAGCTGATGGGCTGGAAACTAAGGTGCCACTTCTATAGCAGAGGATTGTAGGGTCAAAATGAGATACAGGATTCCGGAGAGCAGGGGAAAAAAAAAAAGCAAAGTATGCCTCTCATTTCACCTGGGGAACAGCTAACCTAGCCAGGTGGCCAGCAGAAGCATTGGGAAAGGAGGGTCTCTTTGGATAGCCCTCTTCTCTAAAGGGGGGGGGCAGAGCAGGGGGTGAGCTGACCTTTAATCTTGCACAAAGATTAAAAGGAAACTTGGAGGTGTGTTAGCACAAAGTCTTGTCTGTGTATTGGTGTATGTCTGGAGGGGAAGGAATAAGTGAGTGATCATAAATCAAACTGCAGCCAGGTTGAAAGCAAGATGCAGAGAGGGGGGTGCAGTTAGGCCAAATAACAACCCCCCCTTCCCCAGCCACAGATCTCTCCCTGGGCTTCTTGGGATATTTCTCCTGGCATCTCAAAACTTCCAATGCAACCACCTTCCAGCTCCCTCTTACCCACTGTTTTGAGGTTCTCCTCTTGCAAAACCTAGTTCTTGGAGGACTCCTGCTACAAAATGTCCCCTTTTTCCTTCTAGATCCTTTGTTCTGGGGTTCCCTAGATTTTTCTCCTGGTCCATCAACCCTTCCCTTGAAATGCCAATTCTATTTTTTTTTGCCCAATAGCCCATTAGATCTCCTTTTTTCTATAGGACCCCTAACTCATTCTCCACCTCCTACTTGCTAGTTCTAGTCCTTTTCTAGATAAATCCAGAATATGGGCCCCCTTCTCCACACAGATGTAGTTTCTCCGCTCCACCAGAGCTAGACAAGTCCACCAGATCCCACCCCTGTCCAATGCCCAATTGTTTCCTTAATCCCAGCTGTACACAAGCATTTCTAAAGGGTTTGTGTCAATTTGTTTTTTGAAGGAAATTCCGTCATTGTCCTCTGGGGCTAGTAACCATATCTGTCATCCGCAGACAGAGAGGGGAAGGATGGAAGGAAAAGGAATAGATATATTTTCCCAAGAGACTTTTTAGAATTAGCCTGCTTGGGACCACGCCAAGATCATGTCAGATCCAGTAGTTCTGATTTTCAGCTGTTCCCCTTCTTACATTTTTGCATGCCCTCCTGATGTATTTTTGTGGTAAACAACCAACGTGCCATTCCTGAAGGCTGGGATTCTGCTGAAAAGTATTTTTTTAAAAAAAACAAAACAAAACAAACCACACCAAATGAAAGTGTCTCGTCCATAAGCTGCACAAACCATCTCTGCAGGCAGCCCTCAAGTTGGGAGCTTCAAGCAAAAAGGCTTGATGGAAAATAGACTTATTTGATAAAAGCTTATTTGATCAGGTGTGTAGCTTAGGACAGGATTTGACAGCTTGAAAATATGTGGACTTCAACTCCCAGAATTCCCCAGCCACCTAGCATAATTCCCCAGCCAGATTGTCCTTAGCCAGAAACACTGGTTTAAGGGTCTGTGGAGATTCTCAGTCATCCAGGTCATGGTTGTCCCAAAGGTGCTTTTTCAAGAGGCCATTGGACTATCTTGTTTTTCCCTGAAGACCTTTCGCTTCTCATCCAAGAAGCTTCTTCAGAACTGAACTGAAGAAGCTTTTTGGATGAGAAGCGAAAGGTCTTCAGGGAAAAACTAAGAAAGTCCAGCTGCCTCTTGAAAAAGCACCTTTGGCACTGATTTAAGGACGATCCATTTTTCTATTGGCCGATGTGTGAGTTACGCTTCCCACCAACACATGCATATGGCTTTCTCAGGATACTTCCTTCACCCCACCCCGTTGTCCCAGTGCTAGAGCATTTCCCATAACAGTCAATGAATTCATTTTCATTTTTAAAAAGTAAGAAGCCTTCCTTATCCCTCGGGATATTTTGGTTTAAACTTCATCTGAGAAAAGAGACACACCTGCCTCCTCCTCTCCCTTTGCTCCTTCCATTCTTAAGCTTCAGCAGGCTTAAGCTCATTGTAAGTGGGCACTTATGCCACTTTGTGGCCAATTATCTCCTAAAAGAATAGTTAAGGACTCCGGCTTTAAGAGGATTGCATTTAAGAGCCTGCTTCCGAATATAAGTCCTCATGGAATAAGTTGTCCCTGTACCGCAAGTTTCAGCAGAAATCAAGCAAGCTTGGATCTCTTCCTTGGCTTGCCTAGGATGCTACTTGACAGTTCTGTTAGAGTCCTCCACTTATGACCAGGATTGGGACCAGAATTTCCATTGCTAAGCAAGGTCGTTGTAGGGCGAGGCGCACCTTTTATGCCCCTTTTTTGCCATGACTGTTAAGCGAATTATAGTCCTTCTTAAGTGAATCACGTCATTAAGCGAATATTCACTTTGCTCATCGGAAGCCAGGTTGGGAAGGTTACAAATGACCATCACATGATCCCAGGATTCTGCAACCATTGTAAATGCCTGCCAGTTGCCGAACACCCAAATTTTGATCATGTGACGGCAACGGTTGTAAACACGAGGACTGATCATCGGACGTTTTTTTCAGTGCCGTTGTGATTTCAAACAGTTGCTAAAAAAATGGTTGTAAGTAAAGGACTGCCTGTAATGCTGGATTATTCCATTGTGGAAGAACTCTAATAAGTTCCCATGGTTGGGCTACTGTAATGTGCTCTTGGTGGGGCTGCCCTTGAAATGGATCTGGAAGCTTCAGCGGTTGCAAAATGTTTCAGCTGTTACAGGCTGCTACAGGTCGTCCTCGACTTATAATGGTTCATTCAGTGACCGTTTAAAGTTATAACAGAACTGAAAAAAATCGACTTATGACCATTTTTTGCTCTTATGACTGAAAAAAATCGACTTATGACCATTTTTTGCTCTTATGGCCACATGATCAAAATCTAGACGCTTGGCAACTGGTTCATATGTAGGACGGTTGCAGTGTCCCGGGATCACCTGATCCACCTTTTGTGACCTTCAGACGAGCAAAGTCAAGGGCAAAGCTGGATTCACTTAATGCCTGTCAGTAATTTAACAAGTGCAATTATTCACTTAACATCTGTGGCAAGAAATGTTGTTAAATGGGGCAAAACTCACTTAACAAATGTTTCACTTAGCAACAGAAATTTTGGGCTCAGATGTGGTCATGCAGAGGACCGCAGCTTTTTTGTCTTTCTGGAACACACATTGCTGTTCTGTTCTGTTCTGTGAGCTGCATTGGTTTCTAGATTGTTTCTGGGTCCAATTCAAGGGGACGGTTTTGACCTTTAAAACCCTACATGGTAGGGGACCAGATTGTCTGAGGGACTGCCTTTCCCCAAGTACATCTGCCCATCCCACCAGACCCAGGAGAGAGGACATGGATCCCATCGGCTAGAACAGAGGTCCCCCCCCCCAACCTTTTGGGCACTAGGGACGGATTCCGTGGAGAGAGGTTTTTCCAAGGACCGGAGGAGGTGTGGTTTTGTGTGCTGCCTGCATCCCACAGGTGGAGCTTTGATTGTGTGGACCAGTTGCTGGCAAGCTGTGGCCAGGTACTGGTCCAGGGACCCTGGGTTGGGGACCCTTGGGCTAGAGAGCAGTATTTGGTGGGTCCTAAGCAGCGGGCCTTTTCTCTGGGGGCGCCTTCTTTATGGAATATCCTTTTCCCTGAAAGTGAGGTTGGCCTCATCCCTTTTGTCTTTCCTTAGGGCAGGGGTAGGCAACGTTGGCTTTTTTATGACTTGTGGACTTCAGTTCCCAGAATTCCTGAGCCAGCATGGCTCAGCTTAGAAACCTCTCTTTCCCCTCAGCATGGCTGGCTCAAGGAATTCTGGGAGTTGAAGTCCACGAGTCATAAAAGAGCCAAGGTTGCCTACCCCTGCCCCAAGGCAACAAAACCTGGTTGTGCCATCAGGCCTGGGGATTCCAGAGGACTGGGAAAATGAATATTGTCCATGAAACCAGAGTCTTGTTTCAAGGACTTCACAGAGATGATGGATGGCAGAAAGAAAGAGTAGCACAGCCTGAATCAAGGAAGAGGGGAGGATGGTGCTTCTTGTGGAAAGGTTGATGAGGTCTTTTCATTTAGGCCATGAAATGCTAGCTGGGGAATTCTGGGAACTGAAGTCCACACATCTTGCCAAGGCTGAGAAACATTGATTTGGGCCAGGCTGTCAAACTCAATTTCACTGAGGGCCGCATCAGCATTGCAGTTGCCCTGGGGGGGCCGGGTTGGTGTGACCAGGATGGGTGCAGCCTACTGGGTGGGCATGGATGGAGTGGGTTTGGCCTACTGGGTGGGTGTGGCCAGCTCTACATCGTTCGTGTCAAGGGTGCCTGTGGGGCCCTGGGCAGAAGTGGGACAGATCTGAGGGTCTCTGGCAGAAGGGGGTGGAACCGGAGCAAGTGCCAAGGCATGGTCCACCGGGGCAAGTGCCAAGATGGCCACCACAACATTGTACATTGGCTCCCGGCTGGCCTGGACCAGGGCCAAGGCAGCGGAGGCCATTCCCTCACTGTTTCCAGGATGGCTTCGCGGGCCACATGAAACCACTTTGCGGACCGCATCCGGCCCCTGGGCTTTGTGTTTGACATGTCTGATTTAGGCAGTGACACAGGTTCTTCAGCCTGTGCATCCGGCCCCTGGGCTTTGTGTTTGACATGCCTGATTTAGGCAGTGACACAGGTTCTTCAGCCTGTGCACCCTTTGGGTTTAGTTCCAAAAAGTTCTTTAAAGCAGTTGCACCTTTTATGCAACTGCCCTCTGTAGCTGCATTGCAATCTTGAGCAAAAATGTTAGTGCTTTTGGATAGGTGAGATGTTTGTGTGTCCCTGCATGTTTTAAAGTAACTTTATGGAACTAAATCTGGAGAACTGGCTTTATTTCTACCAAACTGCTAGTAGCACCCACTAACAGGTAGTTCTGTTTGGTAGAATAGTCAGAAGCGTTGTTGGGCTGATGTAATGCCAACTCCCCCCTTTTACGTGTTTCATGGAGTTGCTTATGCGTGTGAAAGGGGAAAAGGTTGTGGGGTAATGCTGAATTCTGCCGTGGTCATTTTGGATCTCATGGACACCTAGAGCATGCTCCTAAAGAGATTCCCCCATGAGGAAATGACATCCTTGAAAGGGGAGGGCCCTCTCACTAGTTCTGAACAACACTGTTGGGCTATTTTTCCTTGTGTGCTTCTAATATTTTCCAGTAAAAAAGGAATACAATAAAAAAGGAATTATGACCGCAACTGAGCCCAAAATTTCTGTGGTTAAGTGAGACATTTGTTAAGTGAGTTTTGACTCATTTTGCGACCCTCCTTGCTACAGTTGTTAAGTAAATCACTGCATAGTAACATGGTTGTTAAGTGAATCAAGCTGATTGCATGACCCCAGGACAGTTGTAACCGTTATAGATATGAACTGCTTGCCAAGAGTCTGAATTTTGATTCCGCGACCGTGGGGATGCTGCAAAGATTGTAAGTGTGAAAAACAGTCATAAGTGACTTTTTTTTTAGTGCTGTTGTAACTTCGAACGGTCACTAAATGAACTGTTGTAAATCAAGGAATACTTGTAATGTCCTTTGTTCCTCTTCCCTTCTCAACCACAAAGGAAATGGCCCCTGTCCATCCATCCATCCATCTTCTGCCAATTTCTGAAATTGGTATCTTTATCAAAGGGTTTCATAATCATGTGGGAGATCTTTTTCCTGGCTTCCAAGGAAAGGGAACAGTGCAGCAAAGGAGACAAGCAAAGGAATTCAGGACTCCTGAGGGTTCCCCCCCCCCACTCCTGATACCTACGCTGGGTTTATTTACCACCCACAGCTGAATCAACTCTTACACGCCTGTGTTTTCCACGCCTGTCAGCAGTTTCTGATCTCAGAAGGGAAGAAGAAGCCTTGTTTGACTCTCCCCTCCTCTGCCTCCCTCCTCTACACTTGCCCAGACAATGTCTCCCTTCCACCCCCAGTGCAGCTCCATTGTTCCCATTCAACATGAATCATCTCTATTAGATCATCACACCTCTGACAAGAACATTGCAATGTAGGGCAGGTACAAGGAGAGGCAAGAAACGCCAGCGTCTGTAGGCTTGGTCCACCTGGTATGTGTGTGTGGGGAGGGGGGGCAGCGATGCCATCAGGGCAATACTTGGGGGCAAACATCCAAAACTTTGAAGGAAGGAGATCTTCCTTGCAACCTGACTTTCTGTATTTGAGTCAAGGGAAGGAAAACTCTCTCCCACTTGAACAGCCACTTCCTACCATCCCTCAAATTCCATACCAAAGTGTCCTATATTTCTGATTTGATTACCAAGAGTGTTCACCGCATTGTATTGAAAAGAACTCCCCGTTTCTTAGATAATGCATCCATTTCAGTTACCCATGGATAGATCTAATTTGGATTCATACAACAAGCTACCCATTGCAGTTTAGTGTGCTGAGTGTACCTATTTGGGTTTCCTAACCATGGGTTAATGCAGGGGTAGGCAATCTTGGCTCTTTTCTGACTCGTGGACTTCAACTCCCAGAATTCCTGAGCAGCTGGCTCAGGAATTCTGGGAGTTGAAGTCCACGAGTCAGAAAAGAGACAAGGTTGCCTACCCTTGGGTTAATGTGTTGAAACTGGGCAGTTGTGGGTTGTTTAATAAATCACAATTAAGTAAATAATGTCTTAGTGTCTTGTGTAAATTCAAGCATAGATCCTATAGAAGATCTGTGACATCTTGAATATATTATATTCTGCTATGAAGGCAGCTAATTTCTGCTCCTGTCGCAGAAGTAACCAAAGATATTTAGTTTGGTCTTTTCCTCTCGGTTGTCCTTAAAATCTTCTTCTGTCCTCTATCCTTGAGTTTTCCAGAGCAGCCTAAGTGTTCCTCAATCAAAGAACTGGTTGGACAAGTTATAAGGGGGGTGGCCAGTAGGTGAAAAATATCCTAAGTTGGGTCAGGAGGGAGAAATACTCCTACAACTCTTTTATTTATCCCAGGCTCTGCCTGCCACAAAATCTAAACTCTTTGCCCCCTCAGACTGAGAGGAAGGTAAGGCCAGATCAGCTCCTCTAAAACGCTTGCATCAACCTTGTAAGTTTTAGCAGGATTTATGTGAATTTGGTAGAATGAGCAAAAATCAAGAGAGAGCCTTGATGTAAGGAATTTTTTTTCTTTTCTCTATCTCAGAGGAGCTAAAACATGATAGCTTCATGGTCACCATAATCAGCACCTTGGAAGAAAATAAATCCAGACAGGGTAACTGTCTTCCGAGATTATTATTCTTTCATATCATTGGTTCCTGAGCTAAATCTCTTAGAAGAAAGCCACAACAGTTTCTTAGCTGCCTTCAAGTTGAACAAATTTATTACGGCAGAAGATTTCATGATGAGTCATGTGCCCAAAGTGTTAGCTGAGATTAACTGAGAATTGGCTAGAAAGGAAGGAGGACAGTAAGTAAGTGTGAGGTCAAGGAAACTGCAAAATTTGGGAAGACAAGGACTGCTACAGTGGAGGGCTATCGCAAATTGACATTCGCACTAAAGACAAACATCCTGCCATTGGTAAAGTAATTAATATATGGTGTGATTAAAAATGGATTAAGTTCAGTTAGGGCAAAAATGACAGGCTTAATTCAATAGGAGTTGATTGGGAGCTGCCCAGAATTGGTTTTAAGGTAGGCGGCTATATAAATGTTTTAAACAAATAAACAAACAAGTAAATAACTCATGCTTTGGTTTCATGCTTCGGCTATATAAATGTTTCTAAATAAATAAATAGCTTGTGCTTTGGTTTCGTGCTTCGGGCTCCTAACTTGCATGTGCAATCTTTTATTTATCCTCAGCATAGCACTTTGTTCTAGTGGGTCTCACAAAAGGTGAGACCTAGGCCGTGCAAGGGTGTCAGTGGGGGATTTTGTGGCAGATTTTGTGATTCTAATCTGGGTTTTTAGGAAAGCAATTTAACTTGGATGCCGTGCTGGTTCCAAGTCTAATGTTATGTCTCTCTTTTCAGATGCCCATCCTCAAGCAGTCCCCTGTTTCTCATTCCAAAAAGAGGCCTCGTCTGGATCGAGCCATGATTAGTGCCCCTTTGGGGGACTTTCGACATACGATGCACATTGGCCGTGGGGGTGATGCTTTTGGAGATACATCATTCCTCAGCAACCATGGGGGCACCAAGACCAATGGGTTGCCTCACGATGTAGCAGTGTCTCCTGGGTCTCTTGGTTCTCCTGGAGATGTTTCTGGTTGCTTTGAACTGCTCTCCCCTCCTGGGAGTGGGAATGGAGTAGTCCAGAGTCCAGCAACATCAACCCCTGATGGCAGCTTTGTGGTACTGCAGAGCCCAGAGAAGGCTGATTGGAAGCCCCCTAATGGAGAAGGTTGGGACCTGCAACAGAACTTCTCCCTGGAGAGTCCCACACTGGACCACGCTGAATCCCTTCTCTCTTTCCAGCTGGACTTGGGGCCTTCCATCTTGGAGGATGTGCTGGGAGTGATGGATAAAGACTGGGATAATATTAAAGGGCAGGATCAGGATGTACTGAGGGATGAGAGCTCAAGCCCACTGGGATGTTCCCAGCAGGAGGATGAAAAAGAAGAGGACGAAGAAGAGGAGGAGGAGGAGGAGGAAGAAGAAGAAGAGGAGGAGGAGGGACAGGGCTATAGTTTTGAAGATGAACAAGATGAAGAGATTGGGTTATAGGAGGAGGAACATCTTGGCTTTGCTCTTTCTTTTCCCCACCCTAAGATTTCTGCCAGCCCGCTCTTGCAGAGTTTTCCAGCCTCTGCTACAGTAGTCAGTAGCTGGCAGCCCTTTGGCCAAATATGGCCAGCAAATGACTATTCACTAATCCACCCATTTATCCCTTCCTCTTCCCGTAGAGAAGCCTTTTACCTTCAGATTTTTTATTGTGGGGTTCACACAGGAAAGCTGCCATCAGGGGCTGATGTCAGAATCCTATGGCACATTCCATGATGCTACTTCTGAAAAATAAGTTCCAGAAAGTGCTTAATAATAATCCTTGTTCTTTCCCCACTTCTTGTATCCCTTCCAAGGCCTGGGACAGTGCAACTTCTTTGTACTGGAAAAATACGTCTTGGCTTCAGCTCATCTCTCTATCTGGAATCAAAGTGACATACCACTGAGCCTGTTACGAAACTCTATCCATCATCTGCTCTTATGTTTATCATTTTTTACTTAACTGTCTTAAATTCCAGCTCTCTAACCCACTGTTGGCTTCCCTCTATGAACCTGGAATATGTTTTGAGGAAAGGTCACCTAAGAGAACAGACTGAGAGAATATGAGGACACAGTCTTAACCTAGAGGCACATGGTTGAAAGTACAGAGTTAAGAGAGAATAATATGATTTTGGAGGCTCTGTCTAATAATCTCCAAGTATGTAGCCAGTCTCTTCTACCAACGTAGAGGCTATTGGGACATTCAAAGGTATGAAGCCTCCTTCTGCCCACTAGCCTCTTCTCAAGGGAAGGACACAACCTAGCTCAATAGCCTCCATTTCAGAATTCATTCAGTTTTTTTCTCTTAAACCTGTGGATCTGTATATCCAAGCAGTATCATGTATCCAAGCAGCTGTGGGTTGTCTTCTTAAGAGATGATCTTGTGTTAAGACAAGGACATGATTAGAGGGAAGACAGAAGAGCTTCACCACATTTTCTCGAAGTCAATGAAAAGGAATTGGCAGGAAGAATGAAGAAAAAACGTTCAGTTCCTTGAGTGGACTGCAATTAGCCACATACCTAGCTGCCTCTGACAAGGGACAGAATTTTTTGCCAGTGGCCCACCTCAGTGTTTTTTGTTGTTTTTTTGCACCCTGTATAAAAGAAGCATCTGTTTTTGTCAACCCAGTCATGTACAAAAAAGGACAACGTTTTCAACCGAAATAGTAGCTGGAACAATTCTGTGTTATTTTTCTCTCTCTTTTGGCTAGTCACTTTTAAAATGGATTTATTTATGAAGGACAAAACTTGGAGTGCTTGTGTGGAAAAAAAGTATGCATCATTTTTTTTTCTCCATTAAAGCTGTGATGGGGTTGGGTGGTAAGGCAGGGTTGCATCTGTAGATAGCATCTCTATCCAATGTGAACTGGATAACTTTTTAAACCAGGTGCTTTTAAGTTAATACAATTCAGTGGGGTGGAAGCGGCAATAACTGGACAGGGATTTATACTGGCCAACATATTTTTGAACAACACTTTTATAATCCCAGATCATCAAATTAATAGCTTGTCCGTTTGCCCATCAGTTATTTCTTTTACATTCTTTTTAAAAGTAATATTTGGTTACAGCTATCTTGGCTTCCCTAAATTGCCCTGTGGGAACATTGTCAACTCATTTTTGGAAGTTAATGGTAAACAGTTGGGAACAAATCTGCCTGCCTCTGTACATATGCAGAAGTGGTGGTACAGCTGTGCTAAGAATACTTATATAGAAATAATGCCTTCCCCTTACTGTAACCCTTGGTTACAGTACAGTATCCATCCTCCTGTTCCTACTCTAGATCTGACTATCAGCTCCTTAGGGCATTGTTTCTCAATTTTGGCAACTTTGAGATGTGTGGACTTGATCCCCCAGAATTCCCCAGCCAACATCTTAAAAGTAGCCAAGATTGAGAAAAGCTGTCTTAGAGATTGCTTACAGATGGATCTAGTCTATATGTTCCTTGATTCCACCGTATTTCTACTTTTGTGTTCTTACTCCTGATTTATTTATCGTAATGGAAAAGGTATATAGAACTGTAATGTATAGGGCCTTACCTGAAGTATTTATCTGCTACAAAAAAGAAAAGTTGTTTTTATTGCCAGAGTGAGTGTGTTACCACTTCCTGTCTCTGTGCTTAAATGGGACAAGATTTAAATATGTCAGAATTAAAGTAGAATAAAGGTGCTCAGTATATTACAACTGACATTGCTACAAGATAAGGTAGTGATCTCAACCTTAGCATCTTTAAGATGAGTGGCCTTCAGCTCCCAGAATTCCCCAGCCAACATGGGAATTGAAATCCACTTCTTGGACTTGATGCCCACTGATTTTAAGGTTGCTAAGGTTGCTAAGATAAGGTATGTATAACCTGTGGCTCCCAGAAATTCTGGAGGTAGCCAGAAGTTGATACTGGGTTGTAATTTTTAATATAAGAAAGAAGGAAGCAATACTTAATTTCACAGAGAGCATTCGTGCAAGCTTGTGTTTTGTTTAAAATTCAATATTTTTATCTGGCTTTGATAGCACATACCAATTAAAAAGTCAGATGCATCCTTCTGATCATAAAGAGCTAAATATCTTTGCAGTAGTTCTTAGTTACTTACCCTCTAACAGTCTATGGAGATTCTCAGTCATCCAGGTCATGGTTGTCCCAAAGGTGCTTTTTCAGGAGACAACTGGACTTCCTTTGTTTTTCCTAGAAGACATTTCAATTCTCATTCAGGAAGCTTCATCAGTTCTGGGAAGCAAAGTCTTCAAGAAAGAACAAAGGAAGTCCAATGGCCTCTTGAAAAAGCACCTTTGGGATTAAACCTCTAGTATAGCACCAGATATGTTTTATTAATCTCTGCTTTTTTGTAAGTGAGACAGGCGAGTGTGAATGGGGGAGTGGGAAAGATTGTTTAAGTTGTGACCATGTTTTTGTGCCACGTATGCTTCTTAAGAAAGCTTTCTTGGCGATGGTGGGAAACATGCTTTGTAGTTTTGTTTTGCTGGATCCCATGTCCCAGCAAGCAGTTTCAAGACTGGAAGTGAATATAATGGTAGTGGTGTTTCTTAGCTGAAGTTTGGGCAAGGGGGTATCAGAGAAGCTTAAGGAAATGGAGGTTCTCTATCATTTGGAATTCTCCATGTGAGGTATAAGAAGAGTTTTAATGTTTGAGGACTGATTGATTGGGTTTTCCAAGAAGTAACGTTCAGACAGTTTCAACAGAAGAGCAACTCAGTCCCATAATTAATGTTGGTCAATCCTCAGATGTATTATGGGTGGAGATATCTTCCAACTGCAGACAACTACAAACAGGAGCGAAGAGTGTTTCATCAGATAATTACAATATACTACTAGTTATTGCTCCAAATAGTGCATCAGTTCTCATTTATGGCAGGAGACTGCTCTGGAATTCTGGTTTTCAACAACAGATTCCTTGAAAGTAACGAGAGTGTGATGCTATTTATGAAGAAGACAAATAAAAATATTGGGATGACCAAGAGGTGAAAGGAGGGGGGAAGAAGTAAAGATAATGGGTGTGTCTATTGCAAAGTTACAGTTTCACTGTTTTATTCTTCTTTAGTGGGTGATGCTACCCACCTAACATAAGCTACAGTTCCTAAAGCAGTATATCTGCATTGTGAAAATACTCCGAAAGAGGAGTAGGTTTCTAATTTATATAAAAAGAAATAAAAACGCGTCCCATGTATCAGGTTGGGGTTAAAAGTGGGTTCTTGAGTGGTAAAGATTACAGCATTCAAAACTCTCAGTCTTGTGAGCATGACAGATGTTGTAGTCCAAGCTATCTAGATCAGGGGTCCCCAATCTTGGCAACTGTAAGACCTGTGGATTTCAACTCCCAGAATTCCCCAGCCAGCATGGCTGGCTATAGAATTCTGGGAATTGAAGTCCACAGATCTTAAAGTTGCCAAGGTTGGGGACCCCTGATCTAAAGGGCTCTGCCCCAATGTACGTATATTGTAACCCCAATTTGCCCCTTTACTTATCTCCACGTTAAAATAGGGAAACCTGGACATCCCCCCCCCTTGGTAAGTGTGTTTTATCTCTGTGATATGATTTTAAAGCTGTTCCATTAATGAGGTTTGGTTACTGACTACAAATGAGATTGGGGCTGGTCTCTGATCTCCAGTTTCCTTTGGGAGAATAAAACCACCCTTTGCTATTCTCTACTACTACGTGGATGCATTTCCAAACCTCGTCCTCCCCATCCAAGATTTAATTCCTGAAACCTACTTCTTAGATCCCCACAGATTCTTAGATTGTTTTTATTTTTTCAATAATCCTTGCGACTGATGTAGCAAGATGGCTCTGTATACATTACATTTATCATTTTGTAATAGCTCATTTTATGGGATTGCTATGTAAGAGAGTGTCTATACAGCCTCCCTCTTGATGTGTTTAACTATCAACCTACTACTAGAATATTTGTACAGTGACCAAAAAGTGTTTGATATTTCTTGTAATTAAAATCAAATTAGTTTCGGATGCTTTTCTTTTGCATATGATACCTATTCCTACCAGTCTCTCTGCTACCACTGACTGGTTTGTGGAAGGAGTTCTAGATCTGCTCAAGGGTGGAGTTTCTGGCATGGAAGAAGAACTACAGGTAGTCCTCAACTTACGACTATAGCAATAGCCCTTAGATGTATACAGTATACTGCTTTATAGTGCTTTACAAACCTCTCTAAGTGGTTTACAGGGTCAGCCTATTGCCCCCAACAATCTGGGTCCCCATTTTACTGACCTAGGAAGGATGGAAGGTTGAATCAACCTTGAGCTGGTCAGGATCGAACTGCTTCCAGTGGACAGAGTTAGCCTGCTGTACCGCATTCTGACCACTGGGCCTCCATGACCACAATTGAGCCCCAATTTTTTCTTGCTAAGCAAGACAGTTATTAAGTGAGTTTTGGCCCATTTTATGATTTTTTTGCCACAGTTGTTAAGTGAATCACCGCAACTGTTAAGTTAGTAACACTTATTAAGTGATTCTGGCTTCCCCATTGACTTTGCTTGTGAGAAGGTTGCAAAAGGTGATCACATGACCCCGGGACACTGCAACCATCATAAATATGAGTCAATTGCCAAGTGTCCAAATTTTAATCACATGACCATGGGGTTGTTGCAATAGTTGTATGTGTGAAAAACAGTCACAAGTCACTTTTTTTCAGTGCCATTGCAACTTCAAACTCTCACTAAACACACTAAATTATTGTAAGCTGAGGACTACCTGTAAAGCAGTACTTTAAGTCAAGGTATATTAAACCCAAAACAAGCAAGATATTTTGAAATCTTGATCAGCATTCTACAGATCTTCTTGACTTTGGCTTCCTTTCCTTCTCTCTCTTGTATACATACCAGTAATCATTATATAGGTCGTCTTCAATTTACAACAGTTCATTTAGTGACCACTGAGAGTTACAACACTACTGAAAAAAGTGACTTACGATCATTTTTCACACTCACAACTATTGCAGCATCCCCATGGTCACGTGATCAAAACTTGGCAACTGACATTTGCAGTGTCCCAGGGTCATGTAATCGTCTGGCAAACAAAGTCAGTGGGGAAGCCAGATTTACTTAACAACCGTGTTACTGATTTAACAACTGCAGTGATTCACTTAACAACTGTGGCAAGAAAGGTCATAAAATGGGGCCAAATTCACTTTAACAGCTGTCTTGCTTAACAACAAGTTGAGGACTGCTCGTACTGAACAAACTTTTGGAATCAGCCATTTTTATGGAAATTGCACCTGCTGCTCCTGATCCATCCCTGACTTCGATCAACTAATGTGATTCCTCCCCACGGGCATCTCTTCACAAGGGCAGTAGATCTTGCTGTATCCCATTTCCATTTTAGTTGAACAACAAAAAAGTAAAACAGAGATTTCTCTGTAGGCAATCTTAGCAGTGGGAGTTGCCATTAAAAAAAAAAAAATCTGAATATGGTAGCTTGTTATCAAAAAAATTCTCTGCTCCTATTGAACATAATCTAATGTCCAGCATTCTACCGTTTTTCCTATTGGCTCCGTAAATAACTGGATAGATGGGTTGACTTTTTGACCAGGAATGTGATCAAAGCATCTTCAAAGCTTCTGTCACTGAGTCACTGTCCTTCCTAGTACTATGACTGGATACTTGCCAGAAACTCGTCTAAACATGGCCCAACATTGGCTGTAAAACAGATTTATTTTATGACCCAAAGAGAAAGAGAGAGAGAGAGCTGCAGGAGAGAAAACCCTGGGTGGGGAGCACGAAGAGAAAAAAAGCAGACAGGCAGTTGTCTTTTTCTGAAGACTGTTATGATGTTAGCGCTGGCCTAGAAACCGAGTTCTAGTCCTGCATTAGCCATTAAAGCCAACTGGGCAGCTGGGTCAATCAATAGGACAATGTGAGTTCTAGTTCAGCCTTAGGCATGAAAGCTGGTTGGGTGACTTTGGGCCAATCGCCAGGAGACGGTGAGTTCTAGTTCTGTCTTAGATATGAAAGCTGGCTTTGGGCTAGTCCAGGGGTAGGCAACCTTGGCTCTTTTATGACTTGTGGACTTCAACTCGGCTGGCTCAGGAATTCTGGGAGTTAAAGTTCATGAGTCATAAAAGAGCCAAGGTTGCCTATCCCTGGGCTAGTCCTCTTTCAGCCCAACCCACCTCACAAGGTGTTGTGGGAAAATAGCAGGAGGAAGAAGTAGATATGTTGGCTGCCTTGAGTTACTTTTAAAGTAATAAAGGCAGGTTAAAGTTCTAATTAATAAAAATGTGTAGGGCAGACAAGTTGAACCCATTGCGTTGGTGTTTCTGGCATTCAGAAACTGGTTCTGACGAAGCCAGCAGGCCCAAGGGAAGGGAAGGTTAATTTTGGCTAAAGTTGAATCAGCAAGGTCATAATTGTCTGTCCTGATACCTGGTAGTTATTCTGGGTATCACCCACACTCCTTTTATTGCTTGCTTTCTAATCCTATCAAAATGCCAGCTGGGGATACCAGTAATCAGACCTGCAGCCATATCATAATGCTGGGCCTTTTCTTCAGGATGGGTTCATATTTAACCTGGTACACAAATGCAAAGGGTTTGCGATAGAGGGGAAGTTTTTGCCTCACCTGATCGGCTCAGCACTATGGACTTTCTAGCTGTGCCTGGACTGAGGGACAGGCTGGTGTCACACACCCAGTCTTAAGGCCTCATGCTTCCTGTGGCTGGGCCCAGCCCTCCCCGTAGCTGCTTGTCATTTGCAAAGCATTTCCTCCATTTCCGAGGGTCAGATGCAGAATACCAACATGTGAGTGGTAAGCACAAAGTCAGGAGGAATGCAAGGAGTTGCAAAGCAGACGTATTGGAGGGAGATGAATAGTACTCTTTGGATCCAGCTGAATATTGGGGGTGAAGGGAGAGTGGAAGAATATAGAAGAGAGGAGAATAGGAGAAAGTGGCTAAAAAATTGACACAGAATACTAAGGTGACCAACTTTTTTACAATAAAAAGGAGGACACAAATAAATTGAAAAAAATATCGTAAATAAAAGAAACATTTTATTCATTGCAACAATAATACAGACAACTTGCATGTGCAAAGTTTGCCAGCCGGGTGCTTTGGCGCGCTCAGCAGCAATTCCTATTGGCTTTCGAAAGCCAATAGAGGGAGTAGCACAGCTCATGCAAAAGTTGAAAAAAAAACATCAAAAAAAGGTGCCGGAACGCCGTTCTGAGCATTCTATGAGGAAAAAAAAAAAGCCCTGCAGATTAGTCTTCAAATATCGAAAAGAAGGACATGAAGGAGGACACTTTTTGAGGGAGGACAGAACTTACAAAAGGAGGACTGTCCTCCCTAAAGGAGGACGGTTGGTCACCTTAATAATACCCACAATACACTATTACCAGTGTTTCTCAACCTTGGCCACTTTAAGACATGTGGACTTCAACTCCCAGAATTCCACAGCCAGCATGGCTGGCTGGGGAATTCTGGGAATTGAAGCCCACACATCTTAAAATGGTCATGGTTGAGGAACACTGCAATATTTTGTGAATCTCTTCTCTCTATACTAGGATGGGTATGGGAACACCCTGGATGAAAAGGACCCCTCATAGCTCTAGTGGGTATTAATATCTGGATTCATTTACTGAGCTTGCATTGGCTGAATCAGGCCATAACTCTTAGCCACAATGGCTGTAGATAACCTTCAGGATCAAACATTAATTTTCAGGGACCACAAGCAGGAAGTAGCAATTACATTCACATTCCAGCTTCTTTTCGTTAGCCAGCTGTACCAGAATGGCTGCGCTGTGATCCAGCAGGATGCTGCTTTCATTCCTTAACAAAGTTTCCCTTCCCAATAAGTAAGTGAGACAGGAATATTTATGGACATGGTCAAAAAAGTCAAAATGGCAGGCTCAATGGTTTATTTATTTATTAAATTCATATGCCATCCATCTCACTATCAAGCAACTCTGAATAGCTTACAGTGTCATAAACAATGATACAAAGCAATTAAAGAATAGCAATAGCACTTAGACTTATACATGGCTTCACAGTTTTTTTATAGAATCAGCCTATTGCCCCCAACAATCTGGGTCCTCATTTTGCCAACCTCGGAAGGATGGACGGCTGAGTCAACCTTGAGCCAGTCGAGATCGAACTTCTGGCAGTGGGCAGAGTTAGGCTGCAATACGGCATTCCAACCACTGTGCCACCACAGCTAAGTTGTGGTTTTAAAAACATTAAAATATTGGGCATTCAAATTAAAACGTTAAAATTAACTACAAAGTAAATGAAAGAAGCAATTTAATTGGAGTTTAATTGAAACTTCCTGGGGTTTTTTGTGTTGCACCTACAGTGGACCCACACTGGCCACTATCTTTTTATTTTGACTTTTGACTACACATTTTTGGATTCTGATGACCACACTCAGTAGATATTCTGGTGTGAGAACTTTGAGAAGCAGGCTGGATGACAGTTTTAGGGAGGAGGAGATGGGTTTTTAACCAACCTTCAGCATTTGTCACCAATCAAGGCTTGGGTTTCCCCTCCACCCCATTCCCACAACAACAGGGATCAGATCAGAAAGAAAAAAATGTTGGCTGATTAGGCTGCCTTCCCCATCTCCAGCTGCAACGTGTCTCTGGAGCCTTAGCTGGAGTTCTGGTGCCTCCGTTTGCGGGTCAATTCCAGCTGTGAATTTCCTGTTGGAGGATAAACAGGGCAGCTGGAGAGTGGGAGGGGGGACTCACTGACACAGGCCAGGCCTGACAAGATGAAGGAAACCATTACAAAGGCAACCTGTGAAACACACCATCTGTGGGTTGGCTGACAGGAGACAAATCTTCTCCCATTCCAACAATGAAGGGTCCAAGTTTTGTTGAAACATTTTGATGAAAAATATGCAACCTCCTCTCTAGAAAAACAGCCTGTTTCATTTATGGGGGAAACTTTCCCAAAAGTTGGGGGTGAAGGAGACAGCCATCTACAGATCATTGTGTGGGGAGGGTTTGTGACTCAGCTACCCCTATGGTGCCTCCTCCCCTGCCTTCATTCAAAGGTTCAATAACCCAAGATTTCAATAATGAAGGCTGAAAAAAGTTAAGAGGATCTTGGGAGGACTGTTCCCTATGATCAAACACAATATTGCTAGCTATGGTGGCTTCCCACTTGTACTAGTTCTAGGAGAGCCATGCAGGTAGTCCTCCACTTATCACCACAACTGGGCCTAAAATTTCTGTTGCTAAGCAAGACTTGTTAAGTGATTTTTGCCTCATTTCACAATTTTTCTTGCCACATATGTTAAGTGAATCACTGCAGTTGTTAAATTAGAAACACGGTTATTAAGTGAATCTGGCTTCCCCATTGACTTTGCTTGTTAGGAAAAATGATCACATAACCCCAGAACATTGCAAACATGAGTCAGTTGTCAAGCTTCTGAATTCTGATCACGTGACCATGGAGATGCTTGCAACGGTTGTAAGTGTGAAAAATTATCATAAGTGATTTTTTTCAGTGCCCTTGTAACTTTGTCACGAAGCACATGGTCAAAGACTACCTGTAGTAGCAACAAAAATCAGGAAGAATCTAGTAACACCTTTTCCAATTAACACATTTTTATTAAAAAGCAAAAGTTTTTGTAAGCCTAAGCTGTGTTGAGGCTAGACTAGTGTTTCTCAGCCTTGGCAATTTGAAGACCTGTGAACTTCAAGTCCCAGAGTTCCCCAGTCAGCATATTTATTTATCCATTCTGTTATTCAATTTCTACAGTCATGCATCTCAATCAATGACTCTGAATGGTGATGCTGGCTGGGGAATTCTGGGGGTGGACGTCCACAGATTTTCATGTTGCCAAAGTTGAGAAACACTGAACTAGACTGATGCAGGATTTGTAGACATTGATCTAGCCACTCCATAATCTCCCTAAAATGAGCTGCAATTCTTCAAACACATTATTTTAATAAATGTCATCTAAACTAGTAGAAAGGAGATTTAACAATATCGTAATGCATGCATAATTATGCCCATGGTAACGGGGGAATATTGAATCTGCTTTTTATAATAATAATAATAGCAGTAAAGTTGGAAGGGACCTTGGAGGTCATCTAGTCCAACCCCCTGCTCGGGCAGGAAACCTTACACCATTTCGGACAAATGGCTGTCCAGTCTCTTCTTAAAAACTTCCAGTGTTGGAGCATTTACTGCTTCTGGGGGCAAGCTGTTCCACTGATTAATTGTTCTCACTGTCAGGAAGTTTCTCCTTAGTTCTAGGTTGCTTCTCTGATTTTGTTGGTTTGCACACATGTATTTCCTTGTTTTGGCCATTGAATTTCTAGGCTGTAAACAATCCAGATCAAAAGCATTCAACGGCTAATCCAGATCAAAAGGATACAACGGAAGCTAAGGAGGTAGAAAAGGGGGGGTTCTAGACTTGTCTACCTCAATCTGTTACCCTCCAGAGGGAAAGGCCATTGCAATTTCATAATCATGTATGTAAGGATTATGGGAGCTGCAATCCAAGGCATTGTGGCAGGCACATGGTAGGGAAGTGATCCTAGCTAATCAACAGTAAAGGAGAGGGTGACCCACTTTTCTCCTACTGACCTAGAAGCATAACATTAAGAGCTACTTTGAGTTCTTAATTGTCTCTGAAATCCATACCTGAAATTCCAAGGACGTGGGTCTTAAAGTTGCAAAGTTTGAACAATACTGTTCTAGATGTTTTATTACAACAGAAGAAGCTCCATTTTTCAACAGTTGAAAGAACTTCTATGCATGTTTAAGGCCTAAGAAGCAAAAGTTTTGAAAACAGCAAAAGAATGTTGATTTTGGAAAGTTAATGGGGTAGACTGATGTGAAAAAAACATTTCCTGGGGATTGTTTAAAATTTTATAAAGGAGTATGTGAAAATTTTGAAATTAATTGTAAGAAATACTCCCCAGGGAGTGTTTGTTAAATAAACAGATGATAACAGAGGGTTTGAAGGATGACTAGAGGAAACCAGAGAGAACTAACAGATGCAATTAAAGGAGAAGAGTCTCATTAATACAATGGAACAATATTATTTGACTATAGAAGAAATAAAGGCTGTTTGGGAACAATCTACTCAGAAATTCTTACAAGATTGTCTGATTTAGGTAGTCCTCAATTTACAATCACAACTGAGATCCAAATTTGTATTGCTAAGCAAGGCAGCTATTAAATGACTTTTGCACCATTTTATGACCTTTCTTGCCACAATTGTTAAATGAATCACTGCAGTTAAGTTAGCAACACAGTTGTTAAGTGAATCTGGCTTCCCCATTGACTTTGTGATCACGATTGCAGGACACTGCAACTGTCATAAATACATGCCAGTTGTCAAGCATCCAAACTTTGATCATGTGACCATGGTGATGCTGCAATGGTCATAAGTGTGAAAAACGGTGATAAATCACTTTTTTCAGTGCCATTGTAACTTTGAACAGTCTGTTCAGGATAATCAGTTTGGTCTAAAGCAGGCATGTTAAACTGCTGGCCCGGAGGCCAGGTGCGTCACACCAAAACTGCAGCAATGGGGGAAAAGTGACACGTTATGTCACGAGTTTGACATGCCTGGTCTAGAGGTTAAGGTGCTGGCCTAGAACCAGGAGATAGTGAGTTCTAGTCCCATCTTAAGCAGCTGGGTGACTTTGGGCCAGTGGCTCTCTCTCAGTCCAACCCACCTCACAGAGTTGTGGGGAAAACAGAAAGAGGAAATAATAATAATAATAGTAATAGTAATAATAATAATAGGAACTGCCTCCATTCTGCGACGATATCTGTAATACCATCAAACATCTGCCTATCCCAGGTCCTTGGTAAGGATAAGTAGACAAAAATGCCAAATCCAGTCTGAACATCTGGCTGACTGTGCAATGATCAATAACAATAATAATAATAATAATGATGATGATGATGATGATGATGATGTTGGAAGGGACCTTGGAGGTCATCTAGTCCAACACCCTGCTTAGGCAGGAGACCTTATACCATTTCAGACAAATGGCTGTCCAGTCTCTTCTTAAAAACTTCCAGTGTTGGAGCATTCACCACTTCTGGAGGCAGGTTGTTCCACTGGTTAATTGTTCTAACTGTCAGGAAGTTTCTCCTTAGTTCTAGGTTGCTTCTCTCCTTGGTTAGTGTCCATCCGTTGCCTCTTGTCCTGCCTTCAAGGGCTGTGGAGAATAGCTTGACTCCCTCTTCTTTGTGGCAGCCCCTGAGATATTGGAAGACAGCTATCATGTCCCCCCTGGTCCTTCTCTTCATTAAACTAAACATACCCAATTCCAGCAACCGTTCCTTATGTTTTAACTTCCAGCCTGAAGTTAAGTATGCTTGCCACCTTGAGTTATAAAGCAATAAAGTCAGGATAAAAATCAAATAAATAATAACCAAATAACACCCAGGGCAGAACCAAGTTCATCAGGCACGTCTATATATCTGCCAAAAAGGTCCCTAACGCTTTTCCCCTTTGCTTTGCGAAGCTAGTCCAAGGCAGTGATCGATTGCAAATAAGGTCTGAGTTGAGCTGGTGGAGCATTGCCCTCTGCTGGCTTTGACGTGAAAATGGGCCCAATTCGTGAATACCCCCACAATGCTTTTCAGTTGTTTGCGAGTTCCTTCCTTGTTTTCCACTTACGAGAAACGGGACGAGGAAATCAGAGGCGGCGGAGGGGAGCGGTCACTCCGGGTTTCGCCGAAACTCAGACCCGGAAGCGTCTGTGGGAGATCGGGGAAAGGTAGGAGATTTCTCCCCTAACTCGGTCCACTTTCTGACCCCCCCCCCTTTCCCCTCCCTGCTGCTTTTGATTTTTAAAAAGTGCGAGGAGCTAAAATAATCCAGGCATCCCGAGCCCAGTAGCTCCGTATCGGTATTCACACGTCGTGGGTGTGTGGGCGAGAGTGACCGGCAAAGTGACTTAAAAAATGAGCTCAGTTTCCTCTAATAATAATTATCCTTTATCAAACTTAAATGCTTGCTCGACTCTGAGTGGTTCACAACAATCAAAGAAGACACAATAAAACATAAAAGATTGCAAATGTGATGAAGTACAGGAACGGTGGACTGGATACTTTTGTCAAAATTAATTAAATTTTGGTTTAGAAATTTGTTGTGTTACCTGAACTCTGGTGTTCCATGCTTTGTTTATCACCTCAGCTACTCTAAAATGTACTGATTTCAGATCTGGGAATTGAAGCCTGCACATCTTATGCCGAGGTTGAAAAACATTGGGACTTGAGGGAAAACAGTGACTATCAAAGTACTTTGTCTACTACGGTGTCTTTATGCCCACGTTAAAAAAAAAATAAATTTGAGTTTCATCAAGGTGGTTGAAAAGCTGTGACGTGTGGACATATTGTACAGATGACAATTAGCAGTGGAGGTTAAGGCCTCGGTTTCCAAATCTCTGAAAACCCAGCATCTTTGATAAAGAAGAGGGCCTTGAATTGGGAGGCTTTAATCTGAGACATTAACAGAGCAGAATCATTCACTGATGTCCATTACTGTAGCATATTCAATAAGCGTCTCCATGGGAGAAGATTGGCACACATCTGAATTTGGATTTTATGTCATTTTCCTGGTTCACGATTCATCATCACATTGCCTAGACTAGAGCCATTACGTTTGCCCTTAATGTGAGTTGCTCAACTCAACAACCCCACTCATCCCATAATTTCTCTGCTGCTATGAACTGTCCCTGGGATAGCAAGTGAAACTGGATGTAGCCAGCCTTTGTTCTTCTGATTTTAATTCTTTCTCCCATTCAGTGATGGATGAATTGGCTGCCTCCTCTGGAAAGGACTTCACTGACCACTCTTCTGACAGTCTTCTGGAACCATCAGAAGAGCCAGACTCATCCTTTACCAACGAGTCCTCTCCTAATATCAACCCTCCCTGTCGTTTTTTCTTAGAGGGACGCTGCCGTTTTGGTGCCCGCTGCCAAAACTATCATCCCGGTGATGCTGGTGAGGTTCATTTAAAAGATTCTGGACCTCTCCATGTTCCTTCCTTGCAGCTCACAGAAGGGAAGAAACCTGCCATGAAAACAGCTGAGGATGTAATTTCCCGACTCCTCTGGGATACACAGGTACCTGCTGAGCAGTTCTCTATCGGCTACCTTGACCGGTTCTTGGGGATCTTAGAAGAACCTTTTATTTCTTTCTCGTGGGAGGATCTAGCTTCAGTTGGTCCTGGTGTACTGGCTATCCCAAAACATAGGATCCATTATTTTAAATATAGAGACCGTGTGGTTTGGGACAAAGTCAGTCGCACCGATGACGTTTTTGGATCCACAGGAAGTGGGAAAACCATCTTAGAAGTGATGAAGGAAGAAGATGCCCAAGCCGTGAAGCAAATATCGGGTCTTCCAAATAGCCTCCAAGTTGAAGAAGAGGTAGATGGGAATTCACCCAAAGAGAAAGAGTTGAACGGGACAGGTGATGGACAGAAGTTAGCGATGGCTTTGGGGGAAGCCGGGGATAATTTGGAGTTGGTTGAAGACATGTCCTTCAACCAAGAAGGAAATGTGGCCAGCAAAGAAAAGGAGGGGGAGGCAGTCGGCTCTGTTAACTGTGAAGAATTCAAACATGCTTGTGCTGTCGGAATAGAAAATGAAACAGTGATGGCGGAGAAAGAAAACGTGGATTTGGAAAGGAAGGGAGGGAGGAGCTTCTCCTATCCGAAAGAGCGCCCCACCCATTTCATAGCTATCCCGATTACCAGCCCAGAAATCTGGGAAGCTGTGAAACATTTCCAGGAGGCTCTGTGTGCCGTCAACTCAGACTTCGCTCCGTACTGTGTGCCCAGAGCAACACTGCATGTCACGCTTTGCTTGCTGCACTTGGATAGCCCTGAAGAAATCCACAAAGCGATGATGGCTCTGGAAGAACTTCAGGCTGGTTTTCAGCGACTGCTGCCCCCCGTTTTGCTTCTCTCCTTCCGTAATGTGGAGTCTTTTAATTCACGGGTTTTGTACTTGGCACCGGACCCTGCACCCCAATTGGGAGCCCTGGCTCAAAGTCTGGAAGACGCCTTTACCAAAAAGGGCTTGACTGTGATTTGCCCTCCCTCCAAAGGGAAGTTCCATTTGACTGTTGTGAAGGTTCCTCCTAGAAAGGGAATGCCACGGCTCCCATCAGGTTCGGCTTGGGCTCCTACTATGGAGGACTTAGGAGTCCAGGCAGTAGAATCCATAGGTTTGTATGAGGTAGGAAAAGGCAAAGGAACCGATCATGTGTACGTCAGCATACTGAAATTGGATTTATATGGAGGAAGTTGAACTTAACTGGAGATACTTTCCAAATGAACATCTTACTCTTTAGAAAAAGACTGTGTAGGGCTGGGCAACTTGAAGCTGTATGGACTTCAACTCCCAGAATTCCCCAGCAGCATGTTTGGAGCACTTTAACTACAACTGTAATGGAATAGTTGATCAAATTGGGGTGGCGGAAAAAAAAAGGAGCATTGAGGTAACACTAATGATATTTTTTTGCCTTATTTGATTTAAACAGATTAATAATGCACAATAAAGGCATAAGGTTTTTAACAATCCCTTTTCAGATACTTTTAGATAGGGTTATGTATGATGCATCTCTAGAGACTCCTTTGTATTGATAATAGAAATGAAGGAAAACGGGACAACATCTTTTCCTGAAATTGTGTAATTGCTGTCCACATATGATCATAGGAAAGGACATCTGCTTTAAGGTGTTGCAGACAAATGTCATATTTGTAACTCCAAGGCTGCTGCTGATAAATCCAACATGCTAACCAACCCTGAAAAAAAGACCTTGATGCATACATGCTAAAAAGATGCTACAAAGGTGGAGGAGAAAGTAGAACAATATAAAGTAACTAGCTGTCTCCTGTACTTTTAAGTTTTGTCGTGTTTTTTTAAAGGGCACTGAAAGCTAAAGTATAGTCTCTTCTGCTCTGGTTTAGCATTTCTGATCCAGAGTCCTGATGGGTAAGGTTGAGAGAAAGGTGCTTTTGCTTTGTTTAGTATAATCAAACTAAATGTGTAATTTTCAGTGGTTAAAAAAATTATCCCAGTCATAATGAAGGCCTTTGAACTGTACTTTAGTTTTCAGTCAAGACACCTATCTCTTGATGTATACAGTGGGGCAAAAAAGTATTTAGTCAGCCACCAATTGTGCAAATTCTCCCACTTAAAAAGATGAGAGAGGCCTGTAATTGTCATCATAGGTAGACCTCACTATGAGACAAACTGAGAAAACAAATCCAGACAATCACATTGTCTGATTTGGAAAGAATTTATTTGCAAATTATGGTGGAAAATAAGTATTTAGTCAATATCAAAAGTTCATCTCGTGCATAAAGATCAATCTGGGTTTATAACTGGAAGGTATATGAAAAATAATGTTAGACAAATTATCAATTTATTAGAATATTTAGATAAGAACAACCAAGTTCCTGCAGGGCTGATATTTTTAGATGCTGAAAAAGCTTTTAATCAACTGAATTGGCATTTTATGTTAAGAGTAATGGAAGAGATGAATTTTGGTGAAAAGATAGTACAAGCTCTTACGGTAATATATCAAAAACAAACGGCACAACTTATTGTTAATGGAGGGTTGTCAGAGGTTTTTACAATAGAGAAAGGTACTAGGCAGGGATGTCCATTATCACCGTTGTTGTTTGTTTTAACATTGGAAATATTGTTAATCAAAATTCGAGAGTCGCAGGAAATTAAAGGAATAGAAGTTAATAAAAAAGAATACAAGTTAAGAGCTTTTGCGGATGACTTGGTGGTTACTTTGTCGCAACCTACTCATTCTGTAGTAAAGTTATTACAATTGATTCATTATTATGGTTTGGTCTCGGGTTTTAAGATTAATGTTAATAAGACTAAAATTTTATCTAAAAATATGACTAGCCAGGAGAAGCAGACCTTGGTTAATTTGACGGGTTTTGAAATTGTCAATAAGGTAAAATATTTGGGGGTGATGTTATCTGTTTCTAATGCAAAATTATTTAAAAATAACTATGAAAGGTTGTGGGTTAGGGTACAGAAAGACTTGAAGAATTGGGAGAAGCTACAATTATCCCTCATGGGAAGAATTGCAGTGATAAAAATGAATATTCTACCCAAGTTTCTCTTTTTGTTTCAAATGTTACCGATTTTGAAGAATGAGATTAATCTAAGTGAATGGCAGAAAGGCCTTAATAAATTCATTTGGGCAGGGAAAAAGCCAAGGGTTAAGTTTAAAATTATGCAAGACTTCCGTGAGAGGGGTGGACTCAAGGTACCGAATTTGAAATTATATTATGATGCGGTGGTTCTAACATTAATTAGTGATTGGGTAAATTTGACAAATTTTGAGATACTTCATCTAGAGGGATGGGATTTACTTTTTGGCTGGCATGCCTATTTAATATTTAATAAAAAAATGGATTGGGTCTTTAAATCTCATATTCTAAGAATTTCCTTACTTAGGATTTGGAGAAAATATTATAAAAGTGATTTTAAAGTACCATTATGGGCTATACCTTGGCATGCGATAGAAGGAGTAAAAAGAGGTGTTAAAATGAATATGGTGTCTTATAGACAGTTACTTAGATGGGATGGACAAAACTGGCAGTTAAAATCACGGGAAGAGTTAGCACAAGAAAATATTATTTATTCTTGGTTCCAATATAGGCAATTAGTAGATAGATGGAAGGTGGATTGTAAGGTGGGTTTTTTTAGAGAAGATGAAAATTTTATTAAGCAAGTGAAGGATCAAAGACAAACCCACATTAAGAGGATTTATGGGGTTTTAGTTGAATTGGATTCAGAAACGGAACTAATTAAAGATTGTATGATCAGATGGGCGCAGAACTTTGGTGAGCCAGTTCCATTGGACACCTGGGAAACCATCTGGGTCAGAAATGTCAAATTTACACAAGCACAGAACTTAAGGGAGAATTTTTATAAAATGTTTTATAGATGGCACCTTGATCCACAAAAAATGTCTCTTATGTCCCTGACTTACAACCTAAATGGTGGAGAGGTGGTTGTATGGACGCTACTTATTATCATATTTGGTGGTCGTGCAGAGAGATAAAAGCATTTTGGATCAAGATATGGTGGAATATCCAGAGAATTTTTAGAAGGAGGGTAAAATTTACTCCGCAATTATTTTTGTTGGGTATAGTTACTGATTGTGATACAAAGGAGGTTATATTGATGTGAAATTTGATTACAGCCGCGAGGCTGTTGGTGGGACAATATTGGAAGAAGGAATCTTTGCCTACATTGCAGGAATGGTTTCTTAAAGTGTCTTATTTGGCGGAAATGGCAATGATTTCGGCTTTTTTAAAGGAACAAACGCAAGAGAAATTTCTTGCTGTTTGGGATAAATGGATAAAATTCATACAATTTAAATTGGATATAAAAAAATATCATATAGCTTTTTCATAATTTTTATTTTTATATATATACATATATATGTTAATGTTATATATATATATATTCTTTCTTTCTATAAATATAATTTTTTAACTGTTTTTTAATTAAGCCTATATCCTGCTCTGGGAAGCTCAGGAGGGGGAAGGGGGGGTGTTTGGGTGGGGGTGGGGGAAGGGGGGTTTTGTTGTGTAATGTTTAGTTTTTTTTCTTTGTATATGTTGTTTTTTGTTTTTGTATTGTTTTGTTCTTTTTGTAAAATTTATAAAACTTTTTAATAAAAAAAAAAAGTTCATCTCAATACTTTGTTATATATCCTTTGTTGGCAATGACAGAGATCAAACTTTTTCTGTAAGTCTTCACAAAGTTGGCACACGTTGTTGCTGGTATGTTGGCCCATTCCTCCATGCAGATCTCCTCTAGAGCAGTGATATTTTGGGGCTGTCGCTGGGCAACACGGACTTTCAACTCCCTCCAAAGGTTTTCTATGGGGTTGAGATCTGGAGACTGGCTAGGTCACTCCAGGACCTTGAAATGCTTCTTACGAAGCCACTCCTTCGTTGCCTGGGCGGTGTGTTTGGGATCATTGTCATGCTGAAAGACCCAGCCACTTTTCCTCTTCAATGCCCTTGCTGATGGGAGGAGGTTTGCACTCAAAATCTCACGATACATGGCCCCATTCATTCTTTCCTGTACATGGATCAGTCGTCCTGGTCCCTTTGCAGAGAAACAGCCCCAAAGCATGATGTTGTCACCCCCATGCTTCACAGTAGGTATTGTGTTCTTTGGATGCAACTCAGCATTCTCTCTCCTCCAAACACAACAAGTTGTGTTTCTACCAAACAGTTCTACTTTGGTTTCATCTGACCATAGGACATTCTCCCAATCCTCTTCTGGATCATCCAAATGCTCTCTAGCAAACTTCAGACGGGCCCGGACATGTACTGGCTTAATCAGGGGGACACATCTGGCACTGCAGGATCTGAGTCCCTGGCAGCGTAGTGTGGTTGCCTTTGTTATGTTGGTCCCAGCTCTCTGCAGGTCATTCACTAGGTCCCCCCGTGTGGTTCTGGGATTTTTGCTCACCGTTCTTGTGATCATGTTGACCCCACAGGGTGAGATCTTGCGTGGAGCCCCAGATCGAGGGAGATTATCAGTGGTCTTGTATGTCTTCCATTTTCTAATTATTGCTCCCACAGTTGATTTCTTCACATCATGCTGCTTGCCTATTGCAGATTCAGTCTTCCCAGCCTGGTGCAGGTCTCCAATTTTGTTTCTGGTGTCCTTTGACAGCTCTTTGGTCTTCACCATAGTGGAGTTTGGAGTGTGACTGTTTGAGGTTGTGGACAGATGTCTTTTATACTGGTAACAAGTTCAAACAGGTGCCATTAATACAGGTAATGAGTGGAGGACACTCTTAAAGAAGAAGTTACAGGTCTGTGAGAGCCAGAAATCTTGCTTGTTTGTAGGTGACCAAATACTTATTTTCTACCATAATTTGCAAATAAATTCTTTCCAAATCAGACAATGTGATTGTCTGGATTTGTTTTCTCAGTTTGTCTCTCATAGTTGAGGTCTACCTATGATGACAATTACAGGCCACTCTCATCTTTTTAAGTGGGAGAACTTGCACAATTGGTGGCTGACTAAATACTTTTTTGCCCCACTGTATATTAACATTTGGGCATGCAACACATATCCACCCTCAAATCTGGAAGGGTGTTTCCAGGTCTTCTATCTCAGACAAGATGCTAGTTTGCCCTGTAGATTAAAAAATTAAGACATAATCCTCTTAGCTGGTATTAAGCTTTCTCCAGACGGTGCTTTGGCTTCACACCATATCTAGAAGCTCCAGTTTGGTGCTGCCATTGCCAGAAAAAGCAATGAGGACTCCCTAACCTGGAGGGGAGGGGGAGAGAAATACTGATATTTAGATTGACAACAGATGCCTCAAGATCTCAAGTCTATGCCAAGACCTCCAGCTGAGAATTAATATTCTAATGTTCCAGCCATATTTCCTCTGGGGGACCACAGATAGTGTGCTGGTTAG